TCTCTCTCTCGCAGCCTGTCAAATTGGCGTCCATTATGTTTTATGGCGACGCGAAAAGTGGAGGCGGCGTTCCATGGTGTTTCGCATTGCGCGCGATGGGAAAATTCTGGGTTATTTAAAAGAAAGAACAGATAAAAGAAGACGATAATTTTTATTTTTCTTCGTTTCTTCTCGATCCTCGCGTTTTTTATCTTTCGTCCAATATTATTTATCTGTTCCATTTCTATTGCAAAAACAAACGTCACTTCACATAAAGTTTGCATAAAGTTCGCGAGAGAAAATCTTTTCGAAGAAATGTCGGAGGAACGGTGTTTAGAACACGTCTGTTACTCGGTCGATCGTTAATAAAACGGGCGCATGCGCGTGTTTAAAATGCCCGCGAAACGCGGGGTGAGATACGGCCGATGCAAATAAGCGGTTACCGCGCCGCTACAATGCGATGAAGCTTTGGGAAATATTTTATTGCCGCTCACGCTCGAATCGACGTAATTCACACTTTGACCGTCGAACCGATAAATTTCTTGCTCGTGATCTCCGCACCGAGTGCATCTCCCCTTTCTTAGGAGCCCGTGGCATTCCACGAAGCGAGTAAACGAGTAAATTTGTAGGTAGAATCCGCGCCTCCGCGGACCGATCGAATCCCATAAGTCACGTCTCGAATACAGTGTTTAACCTGTGCAAGCTTATCGCCGATCGTTATCCCCGGCTCGGGTTCTCTGTGTACACGTGTATACACGCGGGTGCGTGTGCTCCATCGGACGGATAAATGTTTCGCGAGGAAAAAACATCGATAGAAATCCGTAAAATCCGCCTCGATCGATACTTTCGATTTCTTTCGATCGAAATAATAACTTCGATTCGTCTCGATGGATTCGAGATGATTTTAATTCTCGTGTTTTGTTCGTGGGTGTTTGGATGATTGGTTAATTTGAAGTTTTCATACTTGAGAGAGATTTTTTTTTTTACTCGATATCGAAGACATTTGGGGAATTTGGTAGTCGAGAAGTAAGAATGTTTTTAAGAGGAATTTTAATAATAAGAATTTTTATAATCTTGTTGTAAAAATTATTAAGATTGGACGAGTGTAACGTTCGAATATCTTGTAAGATTCCTTCGGAATATCCCGATTTTAATACGAATCCTTGGAAACAGGGATGTATAAAGATTATAGTGTAATACAGAAAAAAAAGAAAACTCGAGATCTATTCAATTACAACATTACATCTTTATCAGCTTCTTTTTTTTTTTTTTTACATTCGTTCCAAGCAACATCTTGAAATTCATTTGCGGATTAAATCGAATAACCCGCGAGTACTTTGATTCTGATAAAGTGTTTCAATTACGAGGCACAACAAAATCCGCGAGTAATCTCGGCCTAAACCATCAAGAGCCATCACGAGCAGCGCCATCGCTGCATCTTCCTGTAATTACAAGAGATATGCTCGAACGTCAGAGTGGAATTTATAAATTATATTCTTTTTCCATCATCGAGTTTCCCGGATCTCGTCTAACTCGAATGCAATTTCCAACGAATCTTCTTTCGAGTGAAAAAACCAAAAAAAAAAAAAAATCAAAACAAAACAAAACAAAATGATGCTGTCCATCGTGCCACGTAACTTGCAGGAAGTTAATCCAAGAATCCCTCCGCTCGATATTTAAATAGCAATTTAAATACCGATCGGCCTAGATACTCGTGAAACGTTAGAAGCGGTACCGGTTAGCGGATCCTACGACACGCCGAGCGATTTTCTAACTCGTCAGATCGAGTCACTCATCCGATGCTTCGTTAAAATTGTTTTGTCGATCATCGCCGTAACTGGTCGTGAAACGGGTTACGCGATTTCTGCCGTTTCGTTTCAGGCCACCAGATCTGGAAAATTAATAACCGCCGGCACGAAAACCGGCGATGATACTTGACAGTTAGAAATTTAGAAGAGCCCGTAACAGGAGTAAACACGGTATAGTTGGATTATATACGTCGAACGGCGGCGAGCAAAAAGTGGTAGCGGCCAGTTTTGTCAGCCACGCTTCGATTGGCAAGTTGACGTTAAACAGCCGCCGCCGAGATGAATGATAGTGACAATTCTAATTAAGCGGCTACCCGATTCAGTCGGCTCGTATTAATTATCTACGGCGGAGTAGTTGTAGTGGCACGTGCCTACTACCCCTTTGAGATCCATCCGTTTCGATGAATTCTCGCGTTTCCTGTTCGCGTGAATGTTTGGGGAATTTGAGGGAAATTTTTTTCCTTCTTTAGAATTTCGAAGTTCCAAAAATTTGAGATTTCGAGCTCGAGATTTTTGAAAGGATAGGATATTAAGATTTGGAAATTTCAAGCTTTAAGCTTTCCTCTTCTCGAAGAATCGAAATATTTTGAAATGTTAGAACAACAAAATTTGGAATTTTCTGAATGATCTCACGAATTCGATATCGAATTTCAGGTCAAGTTCAAGAATTTAAAGAATTCAGCATTTTCAAAGTTAATATCGTCGGCATTTCAATGTTTCGTTTGATTTGAAAAAATTCTAAAAATATATATTGACATACTTTTCGCTCTTTCAGGGGACCTGAAGAGGCGACACTCGTGGAGCAGTGAGATCGACTATCAGCCGGCGGAAACGGAAGCCGTAGCGACACCGGGAGGAGATCCCGCTGCCCCATCCTCGGACGACGAGGACAGAGTCTCGTACAAGGTAAGCCTTCCGATTATCATGAAAATCTATTCGTGGAACACGTGCATTACTTACATATACAAATGCCTTAATTCCGTGCACACTTGATATAAACAATGTATCTTTTGTTTCCACGAAACCACAACTGCTCGAAACCCCGTTTCGAGAAGTAATTAACTATCTCCGAGCCTTGTATTTGCTTCGAATGGTATTACCTCCCTTTTTTTCGTCGCATTTTTGCACCGATTCAAGGGAATCAGTCGATTAAAACGGGGACGTCGATAATTGGCTTTTATGCGGCTCGAAACGTGGATCGAATTAGCGATCTTTAGACGGAGCCAGATTTAATTATTTTACACACGATCGGCCATCTTGCGTAATTTATACGCGTGCGTATGGAATAGCAATTTCACTCGGCAATTTTGTTTTTTGCAACTCTGCCGAACATTGGACAAATATCCGAGCTCGTAAAATTCGAGCGAATATTATTTTTTCTTTTTCTTTTTTTTTTTTTTTTTTCGAACCTTTAATAAAATATCGATCTTTCCTCTTCGTAAAATCACAAGACAGAGAATCATTTAATTTTGAGATATAAAGATTTTGAAATGTTTCCCTTTCACCAGCAGCAATCAACACGATTCTCTATTTCTCAATCAAATTGCATTAACATTTTTATTCTCGCTATTGGAAACGACATCGTTTCTTCAACAAAACATCCATTCAATACATTGATACATCCACTTGTACATAATCGTAAAATAATCGTTAAGCTTAGAATGTTTTTAAAAAATCTCTTGCAAGTTGAAGAAATATGTGGAGCTGTAAATGTATCTTAAAAGTATTAAAAAAAATAGATACTTTAACTTTAAAAGAAGAGTAACGATGTTAGAACTCGAAGGGATGCATTGTCTCTGGAACAACACGCCACCATTTCTACAGTTGTAGTTGTTAAAGCTGGCCCCTCGGGTTTTACGGTGCATGTTGTCCGGCCACAGTAGTAAAAGGAAATGCACCGTTGCACCACGGCCGTTACGCATGGACCGTCTCACGCGCAATGATCCGCTTCTGCATATAAAACGTAATTTTGGTTAAACGGTCTGCGCTCGTTCCATGGGTCCCTTGTATTCCTATCATTCCCACGAGAAAAGTGGTTCACGCTACGCTTCTCGAGTCGCTTTTTGCCTAAGTAACCCTGGCGGTTTCGGTTTTGCGATATGGCCCTCGTAAAAAGTACCATCCTTCGCCCTTTTCTTCCAGCTAAAAACATCAAGCAGTGTTCTTTAGTATTGCGTTTCACACCGTATATTGATTAACGTCTAAACGTGTTTTAAACAACTCTTCTTTAAAACTTTCATTATTATCAAATTATTTAATAAGTTACAATCATGTTTGTCTGTAATTCTTTTTTATTCTATTATTGGCAAATGATTCATTTTCATATTTAGAAATATACACAAGAGCCGTTTTGAAATAATAATATTTAACCTGTAATTGCATCGTTGGATGCAAGGATCATTAATTTCTAGTATCATTAGAATAGAAATGCGTTGGCTAATTTATAAACTTGTCAATTTTGAAGACACAATAATAAAATTTACAGGATATTATAAAAAAGAACATAGAATCTAACTGAATATTTTATTAAATAAATAGAATTTGAAAAATTCTTCTTCCAACAATGCAATTCTGACTGCAATCAGATTTTATAGTGAACCGATAAAATCTCTGTCTTTTCATGACAAACAGAAAGAAAAAACATTCTAAAGAGATCCTCTAACCTTACCATATCCTAATTACACTTCAACTTTTTCGAAAGCTGCGCTGTTAAGAAACAAAACAATTTCATTCCACGTTTTTCCTCACTTTTTTCTTTTTTTTACATCGACTTACACATATCATATCCAATACCTATATCCACAACCGACTGCCCATAAAGAAGAAGCGGAAATCGTGTCGGAATCCTCGCCGCGCCGCAAAGAAGCCACCCCGCCGCGCCGAAAAATTCTCTTCCAAATAAAGAGACACCGATACGCGCGCAGGGTGGCGGCTCTCCGTTTTTCGACGCCATCCTTCGCCATGAAATAGCACGCTCTTCCACGGCTTCTGGAGGACGACGGACTTCCACGGCTCGCGACCGAAAGGAAACCCGAACGAGGAGGAAGAGGAGGAGGAGGAACGCTCGACATAAACGGCGAACAACTCGCGCTTGTAACGCTCCTCTAAAAATATCGCCGTGAAACAGCCTCCAGTACGGTTTCTCGACCGTACGCGATTTTCTCGACCCTCCTCTCCCTTTCCTTCCTCCTCGTCCGCAGTCTTCTTCTGCCTGCTCGAGCGGGGGTTGTTGGAGGCGCGATCGCTTCTAAGAAAGCCGGCCGATTTCTCGCGCACGAAATACGACTAGATGCGCCGAGGTTTATGTAGATGCTTTGTCGGTACGATACGGTTCGCGGAATCGCGCGGACGACTACCGAGCGACGATTGATCGGCGATTGACCGATTGTCTTGCGGAGGATGGGTTTTAAGGACGGCTTGATTGTAGAGTGGTAAGCCTGGTTCTAGCGTGATGTTTTTAGGGAGGGTAATTGCACGTTTTAACGCGTGTGAGATATGAAAGATATGGTGGAGAAAAAGTTTTCGAAGGATCTCACCTTCTTCTTGAAGAACTTGTAGATTCTTTGTGTGAATTGTTTCTCTCGTGTGACGTGACGTTTAATCTGAAAGAAAAAGAAGAATTTCGAATACGTTAAGAGAAATCGATGAGATTAGAAACAAATAATTCATCATTTCTTTGTTTTTTAAATTAAAAAAAAATAAATAAATAAATATTTATCGAAGAAAATAGATAACGAGTGCCAATACAAGTGTTAAATTCAAAGTGTTTTTTAACTTCGTCTCGCGTTATTCCATCCTCCACGTCCCCATTAAAACTATTTTTATTGATAGCACATCAAAGCGGCGTACCCGCGGAACATCAATAGCCTCGCGTCCTCCATTAAACATCCCTCGCTTTCAAAAGCAGAACTCGCGCACAAAGGGAATTGCGGCGCAAGTAGCCTGTGCAAGAATACTGTGTAATAAATGGTGGGGGCCTCGATTTTTCAGTTAGAATTACACAAGGAAACGCCAACTATTTAAATCAAAGGGGAGGCAGGCTGGACTTACGAGCGTTAATTGCTGGACTAGGCGCCCCCCCTCCCCCAACTGGGACTTTATTGTACCGGAAAATCAGACACGGTACCGTTAACATGCGAGTCGCGGCCATCTGCGTGGCACGGCAAAGAGCATAAACGTGTAAATGGCTGATAATAATCCGGTCGAAGGGGCGGCGAGGAGGGAAACGCGCGCGTTCTTCCGCGAATAGTCGCGCGAATGAGAGTTTTACGAGCCCCGTGGACCACCTTCCTCGTGGACACCTACATTGTATAGCGCGAGCACGAAGGTATTCGTGGACGTGATAAAAATAAAACTGGATTTTGCGTGGACGGAAGATGGATCTTCCAACCCTCCGCACAATTTACCTTACGAAACGAAATTTTTCCCCTCCTTATATATTGTTTATTATTAATTTATTTTATTGGAGTAAATGTAAAGAAGGAGCTGGTCAAAATAAGTATTTACAAATATTTTTAATTGTTTGAGTATGTCGAGTATGTAAAAGGAATGTTGAGATTATTTTTTAGGTGTGAATATCACTTAAAGAGAGAGAGATGTAATGAAATAACGATCCCATGTGTTCCCAAATGTAAGATGAAATTGTATTCGTGAGAGGGTTAAGTAAGTTTCCTTCTTTCTTGCTGTTTAGTAAAATAGTCTCGTGAAGATTGCTTGTTTTGTGATATTTATAATACGAGTTGAGTGTTATGCTCATTATTATGTTGGAATTTACCTTATTACTCTTAACGATACTTTTTATGGCGTTCTTCAATTTTTTGTCGAGAATCATATTTACGGTTGATCGTGGAAAATTGTATAGAAGATTGAAAGGATATTCAGATCCACTCGCTTCGCTTTATAGCGAATTCAAAACACTTCCTGTTCCACAGAAATTTGTGTAAAATAATGAAATATTTTTCTTGTTATATTTGGATATAAAAATTCCACGTTATCATAAATCATCTTAATCCTGTAATTATTATTCCAAGAAGTTAATCGTTAAATTCGCCGATTCAGAAGATGTTCAGATTCGGTTTCTTCAGATTCGTGGTCACTCTAAACGGATTACGATATTATTACCGTTAATAAGATTGCAGATTCGCGAGGACAAATTACAGGGCTGGCATATTGAAACCGCACGATGTTTTATAGACGTCAAAATCGCGCGGCCCTTCTTCATGGGAACAAAAAGATAGGTCGTAATATCCTAGATTGTTCCGTTCCGCGAATAAACGAAGGTTTAAAACGGTTTAACAACCGCTTATTCGAGCACCGTTCAGAGATCAAACTAGACGTCGTAATTACGCTTTACGAAACAAGCCCCAAACATGGACAGATTGGGCGTCGAGGCAGTTAAAGTAAACAATATCGAGATGTCGGGAATGCGGCAAAAAGATTGTGATCTTTATTTGTCGGGAAGATTGATGTGTAACAACGCAGTAATTAAAGATAGACGTTGAGAATGGCAGACCATTTTTTTAAAATTTCTCGCGATTTCTTAATCACCTTTCTTGTTTGAATAATACTTTTTGATTAAAGAAAGTTCTACAAATAATAATAGAAATCAATGGAAATATAAAGATAAGATCGTTAAAAAATTAAATGAAATTATAATATAATAGAAGAAAACAATGGAGATTGATTCAAAGTAATTAACATTAAAGTCGGATCCTATCCTCTAATCTTTTCACATTATAGCATTATAAATCCTTATAACTTTGCCCTCTCGTGCAATTTCATTACACATTCGTTACTCCTAGCTTTATTTCCTCGGAAATGGAAATTCCGATTCATTGAAACGAACGAGGGTTGTCCAAGTAAGTTATGGAAGATTCCTTTCCGTATCGATTACAAGGTTTCTCGAT